GAAATATTAATTGATTGTTTAAGCAGTCGTTGATTTGTATAAAAAAATAATATATTCACGCGTAGTTTATAGCCTGTGAGGCGTCTAGATAAACAAGAAAGTATTAAGAGCTAAAGGATAATAGAGCAGACAAAGAAGAAAAACAACTGAAGACGAAAAAAAAGCAGGGGAGACCGGGGAGAGCCACTCTCCCCATTCTTATCTTTCCGATCCAGGTTCGCTCTATTATTCACCCACGCTCCATTAGCTTAAAGTTTAAAAACTCGTTGGCCGCACTCACTCCGGCCAACGAGGCAACTTGTGCGTAAATACATCCATAAATTATGCGTGCAATAATCTATTGCCACAGCTTGGACTCAAAGAGAAAGCAGTGGCGAATCTAGGGGAGGGTCCCCCCTTGTTTTTAGAACTGAGGCCCGAAGGACCGAAAAAAATTTTTCGGGGACCGCCCCCCCTTACCTGAGGGTCTGGATGACCGCCTTCCCCTCCCCATTATCTGAAGGTCTGGATCTACCACTGGAAAGGTCTTCCTTTACCCCATCCAATGCATAAGTTATAAGTATTAGGGTCTGGACGAAGGATCCCCATCCCTTATTGCCCTTCCTTTTTCTCAAAACTCCCGCATCCCCAATTCTTCCTTTGTTTTCAAAGACAATGAAATAAAATTAAAACACTTAACGGTTCGAGGCTGGTTGATTTGCTCTTGCCGCTCAACATGTATGATTTCCCAATTCCTCAACATACAGGCAAAAAAATATTGCATCCCGTGCTAAAAAAAATTAGATCCTGGCGAATCCCGCTTCCCGGGTAGCTCTTAAAAATTCCCGTTTGCCGTTAAGATATCTTGCGTTTTACGAATCCCGCACCGTATTTTGGTCAAATCCCGGATCCCGAAAACACCCTTCCAGATCAGGGGCACCCAACGAAGAATATAGTTCAAAACCACTTAAACATAGAATTGTTAAACGTATTTTAGTATTTAAACGGTAAATATAGGCATATTTTTATCCCCTAAAAATTTTTCATCTGTTCGGATTTCCTAGCTGAAAGTCAAGTGATCCGAAAATGATACGGATCAAAACTTACCTTTTCGAAAACTTTAGCTAGAAAAAAGGGTAAAAATCCGTTAAAAATAGGCAATTATACCATTTTTTAGATGTCCGAAAATCCTAGGAGAGGCAGGCAAGCAAGAAATTTTACAACAAATGTTCCGAAAATTCTAGATCTCAAAGCGTCTTCCGAACAGATATTTTTCCGAAAATTGTCGTTGGGTGCCCCTGCCAGATCACTGAGTACATTTAATTTGGTATTTCTTTTGAACTGTAATAATTTTGTGTTTTAAGTTTTTTTAAATGTGTCAGTTGTCATTTAAAAATGATATTCCTATAGCGATAAGACAACCTTCCACGAATGTCTTCTGATCTCTGAAAGCGAATGTGCTGGGTACACAACGATAGAAAACAAATCAATTAGGCCTTCATTCGTTTTATAGCGAAGCGCGCCAGCGGAGCACCATGGGTAATAAAATTTGGTAAACTATCGAACCGTCCGAGAAAATTTGGTTATGACGTAGCGTGCGAACGCCGACCGTCCCGACACCCACTACATGTAAGCCGATGCCAAACGTCAAGTTATTTTGGCGGGAAAGCGTATGGCCACCCGCGTCTTGTGAAGCAGACACAACTAAAGGAGTCAATAAAGACGAGAAATGTTTCTGTATCCGTGTTTTTTTTTTGTTTTTTGGGGTTTTTTTTTTAATATTAAGCTTACACAGGAGCCGATTACTGGCTTAGATTAATTGTCATGTCCACAAATTTGGAATATAGAGAAAGAGAAAGACAGAGAAAAAGAGAAAATAGGGCGACAGGCCAGCGAAGCTCAACGAGAAAAGGAGCAAAAGAAACATTTTCTTTTGGAGGAGCAATATGAAATTTTGTAGCGGTGGAATGCTCGCGGCCACCAGGGTCAAAATGAGCCACAGTGAAAAAAGAGTGAAAAAGAACACGACATTCCCTCCACAAAACGTGTAGTAGGAAGTTTCTGGAAGTTTCACGTAATGTACAAAAAAAAAGTGTGCTGCTCGTGCAAAGTTGCCTTTTTGTTAATTAGACCTATTTTTACCGTTCTCGTTGCCTTCGCCGCTCAGCATTAACGATTTTATATTTTGTTTGAGCACTGACTATAAAAATTATTGAGAGCTTCGCTTTTAGCCCTGGCTAAATCTATATATTAATTTACCAGACCACCTTTAATCTGGTCTGCTACGCAGCCGTTTTTAGTGTCGTCACGCAACGCTCCTCTCCATTAAAAAACATACGGCTGTTTAGCAGACTACCTTTAATCGCCTTTATCTGACTTTAGAAAGCTGTGCACTTCCCTGCTGTATGACCTAAAGACACCAAGGTATGTTTGTTCACCTTGTATATTTTGGTACTTTTCATTGTAGAGAAACTGAAATTGTAACGACAGCAAATTAAAGTTGCTCATATAGTTACAGTTCATCAGTCCTTGGGAGTCCGTTGAGCAGCAGCACAGTCTATCAAACGAATCGAACTATTTTAATCGCGTACCTCGCTACAAACGTTTTCCAGTCCTGTGACATTCATTATGTAAGAAGAGCGTTTAGAAAAAGTAGGACTTACCATGTCAGCTTATCCTCAGAGAAAATTATGGTCAGAACGAACGTGTAAATAGGAATGAACGCACGGCAAGCGAACGTACAGCACGCACACGGATGAGGAACGGATAGCCGAGCCGTTCGAAACAGATCGGGTGAACGGATGCAGGGATGAAGAAAATGTTTGCATGGATGCAGTCAAACGGAAACATGGCTGACGAAAATTTTGAACGGATGCAGTCGAACGGATACGCGGGTGACGCCAAAATTTTGAACGGATTAGGTCGAAAGGATGAACGGCTTGTCGGCGGTGTGATGTGCCAAGTATTTTTGGAGCAAATTCTCAGCGTGAGTGACTCGGTACGTATTCAATGCATAATTTTGCGATCACGGAAGTCATTCGCATGCTCGTGTGTGAAAATGATGAATGAAAATAACTGCGTTTTTTTCAATCTATTAATTTAATATGATACAGTCTTTGAATTTTCAGTTCCTAGGCATGATTCTCTTCTTTGATCTTGAATCGTTATTCAAGTTGTGTGACCCCGGACACGACTGAAATCTGTGTCGGTTTTCAATTTCAGTCCACGGAAAATTCAATCTTGTACGTATAACGTGTATCTTGCTAATAATCTCTTTGAAAAGCTCTCCACACATCGCTTTACGCAGATTATGGTCTCCTTGAAAGGAATTTTCCATCATTTTAATAAAAAAAGAACAACACCGCCATATCAACTCTTGTCAAAGGTAATGTATCGGTCAAATCGAAGCTTCAACATGCCCCCCCCGGGCATACCTCGGGCATTTGACACCTTTGCCGTCCCGGGGAGGAGGGAATTTGATTATCAGAGTCTTCCAAGGGGTGGGGAATTTGATCCCCTTGCTTTAGGGGTGGGGAATTTGAACTGCACCCTCGATTTCAGGTAAATTTTGGCGTGGCGAGCTCTCATGGGGGACGCGTTGTTAGAGGATTTTCGTGGAAAAGATTATGCCTTTGTGGCCAATTGGTTGCGAGGAAAGGACTTAAACAAGCTTTGTGCCGTATTTGAAGTATTTAAATTTTAAAATTTTTAACATTGGATTCAGGCTTTGAATGTATGAATGTATTTTATTGTTGTGTTTACAATGAAATACAATACCTCTACCGGCGATTCAATACAACAACATAAAATAAAATAAGATAAAAAGCTCAGGTCAACTACTTTGATCTACTGCAAGTATGTTAATTAATAAGGTGAACGATGATGCATGTCAGAGAAATGGTCATGATGTAGTAATCTCAATAGGTGGGATCTTTTTTATAGAACGCGTTGTATGTTGCATGACGAAGAAAAGCTGAGCATTCAGTGACCTTGTAACAGCGATTTCCGCCGCTTTGCACGAGACTTTTGTTCGTAGTAAATACGCTAACAGTGTTTCTCAGTTTTTGTTATATTTATCACACTACAGACTTTTTACCTAGGTAAACACGACTTGTTGACAGTTTACCTAGGGAAACTTGATTTTTTAAGTGTGACCGATTTTTCCCCAGATAACTTACCTCGGGCAAATTTTATCGTCTGGGTCTTGGATATGTCTCGAAAACAATAGAGTTTCCCTTGACAGCTACCCCAAAGCAATAGCTAGGGAAAAATGAAATACCGAGGTTGCTAGCCAATAGAAGCTCATCGGCGAAGGTCTTGATGACAGAACTGGACATAGATCACGCTGTGAAAGAAATTTTGGGAGCACGAGTCGTCTACGTCTTCGCCTTTCTTCACCTTGCACGTTAAATTAGCGTAAGAAATAACAGCGAGATAAAAGAAAAAAACGTCTCTTTGATCAGCTAGATCCCTACGCATTTTGCCTTCTTGAATTTACGTTCCAAAAAATTCAACTGACGTGACAATTTTGGGAGCCGATATCAGTAGTGTGACCTTCCCAGAATTTTTACCTAGGTAAAAGAAAACCCGAGATGAATTTACCTAGGCAGATTTTTGATGAATTTGCCCTAGGTAAATCGTTTTTACCTAGGTAAAAGTCTGTAGTGTGACCACAGCTATTAGCTGTGGTCACACTACAGAGTTTTTACCTAGGTAAAGTCGACTTGTTGACAGTTTACCTAGGGAAACTTAATTTTTTAAGTGTGACCGATTTTTCCCTAGGTAACTTACCTCGGGGAAATTTTATCGTCTGGAGCTGGGATATGTCTCGAGAACAATAGAGTTTCCCTTGACAGCTACCCCAAAGCGATAGCTAGGGAAAAAAAAAATACCGAGGTTGCCAGCCAATAGACGCTCATCGGCGAAGGTCTTGATGACAGAACCGGACATAGCTCACGTCGTGAAAGAAATTTCGGGGGCACGCGTGCCACCTACGAAGGTCATTTTAGCTCAAATCCGTGATGTCGCAGTTCCGAGCAAGATTGTAAGTATCTTTTGAGATTTGAAATTCAATTTCTCGTTGCCGTTTAGAATTGTTGATGTTGGTTTTTACTTAACGAAGAATTTTTTTATTACAGAATTGGAAACTCTCTCTATTCTCAAGATTCACAACCAACATTTTATAATGGATATCTGTTCAACAATCGGCGCGAGATGGACGCAAGGCAGTCAACCTCATATTTACCTCAAACAACTGGTCCTATAAACCAGGCCGTGGAAGACTACAGCGCCTTTTCCTTTACGTACAATTATCCGCAAGAGTATCGGCTAGGCAGCCATGAAAGCACAGCCACTGAAACGCCAACGACTTCTCGCACAAATAGCAATCGTTGGTCAAGTAGCGAGACAAAAACCCTCATTCTTTCTTATCAAGATCACGCTGATGCTTTGAGTAAAGCAAAGAACCCCCAAGCAAAGAAAAAGATCTGGGAGGCGATCTACGCTAAATTTACAAAAGCATGCGAAGATTACAACATTACGACCGGAAAGTCCTTGGGCCAGTTGAAAGAAAAATGGAAGACTCTTTTCGATAAGTATAAGAGCATCAACGATAACAACAAAGCAACTGGAAGAGGCCGAGAAAAATTCGAATTCTTCGATGTCATGGATTCCTTTCTAGGATTCAGCGACAAGGTGAATCCCAGATTTGTTTCTGAAACAGCTATCCAGAGGAACATTTCGAGCGGAACAGAGTCAAGTCCCTCACCTAGCGCTAGCACATCAGCCAGTTGCAGCTCTTTTGAGACGGGCCCTGATAGCGATGCAGAGACATCAGCTCCTGATGCAGCGAAAGGAAAGCGGAAAGCAGCCGAAAATAAACAGGGGGAGGACGCCGTTACAATTAGAAAAAAGCGGGGAGACAAGCGCAGAAAAAGCGACGAACACGAGAGCCTTATCACTCTGCTAAAATCACAACAGGAAATGATGATGAAAGCGGAGGAGCAGGATAGGTTGGCTATGCAGCAACTCATGAAGTTTGAAGTAGAAGCTGAAAAACGGCATCAAGAATTTACCCTGGCAGCGTTGAAAGAACTGGGAAACATTTTCAAAAAAGACTAGAAACATAAATCCCTGATGTTTTTATTCATGTCTTCCTTTATTGTTGTTGTTCTTTTAAAAGCTGCAATGAGATAACTAGCCACTGTGGCTCGTGATTTGTAACCAACTGAAAGTTTTAATTGACTCATCGCATTTTTTTATTAATTCGACGGATTAAAACTGTTCAAATATATGACTTCTGATAAACGAAACTGAAACTTTTAGAAATTCAAAACGTTTCAAAGAAGCAAAGTCTTTTTATCGTTGCTGTAATACTCCTGTACTTGTGTACAAAATTAAAAAAGGTAATCGACAATTGCCTGTCTAATGTCTTGGGGTCCAACTTCGTCTTCTCCAACATTCTGCTGCTCACGACAGACGCTCAAACGGGGTACATCAAAATCATCCTGAAGCAAAATACAAATGTTGTGTAATACACAACACACAATAATCGTATGAGGAATTCTCCCTGTATCCTCATCGATTCTCTTGTCTAAACATCGCCATCTCCCATGTCTAAACATCGCCATCTGACCAAACCCATGTTCAACCACTATTCGACCTTGGCTAAGTTCCTTGTTAAAGTGTCGCTGGGCAGGGGTCAAGGCTCCGTTGTCTTGGAAGGGGCGCATAAGCCATGACTTCAGTGGATAAGCAGAGTCGCCTAAAATCAGGGGTCGAATCTGCGTTCCGTTCAAATCCATACAGGGCGTCGTCAAAATTTGCTTATCCTCTGCCAGTGAGTAGAAATTACTTAGTCGTAATATACGCGCGTCATGCATGCTACCAGGAAAGCCTGTAGATACAGACAAATAAGCACCAGACGCATCGACAATTCCTTGGACTACGAAGCTGTAATATCGTTTCCGATTGAAGTAGTCTTCATGATTTATCATTGGAGCTTTGATAGGAATGTGACTACCGTCGATAGCGCCAACTACGTTAGGGAAATCAGATTTTTCTTTGAAACCTTCGATTTTTTCTCTCACAGCAGCTGTCGTGTTTGGAAATTTAATGAATTCATCCTTAAGTTGGCATAGAGCCTGCACAAAATCTTGGCATACTCCAATCGCAGTAGATTTTGCAATTCCAAACATCAAACCACACGAACGGTAACTATCTCCGGTCGCTAACCTCCACAATCCTACCGCTGCTCTTGTTTCTACTGGTATGGCTGCTCGTAAAATAGTGTCCTGCCGCCGGATAACAGGACCAACAGCTCTGCATATATAGTCAAACGTCAACCTTGAAACTCGAAAATTTTCTTTCCACCAAGTGTTCAGAGCGTGTGAGCGCAGCAGATTCTCAAACCAGAATTGTGGCCTTGGAAGAACCCAGGCGATACGATTGGCACGATGATGATGTTGCCAACACAAAACGAAGAAGACTTGAAGCAATGATGCTCTCCTCCTTCGCTGTAATCGCCTGGAAATCATTCTTCGTAACAAAAGTATTTTACCTCGCCTTGCTCGTTGAATGAGCGTAAAAAATAAAAGCGAGATTAAAAGAAAAACGGCTCTTTGATCGGCTAGATCCCCGAGCATCTTGCCTTCTTCAATTTACGCGCCAAAAATTCAATTGCGCGAATGAAATATAACCCTTGCTTTGCGTGACAACCTTGGGAGTCTATTTCGGTAGTGTGACCTTCCCAAAACTTTTTACCTAGGTAAAATGAAACCCGAGATGAATTTACCTCGGGAAATTTTAATTGAATTTGCCCTAGGTAAATCGGTTTTACCTAGGTAAAAGTCTGTAGTGTGACCACAGCTATTTTGTTCGACAACTGAAGCTGTTTCCGTCGTCCTTCTGTCATTTTTGTGCCTGTGAAATGTCCCCGGGATGGCGGCATTTGATCACCTGAATGGACCCTAGTGTGGGGCATTTGAACGGTATTTTGGCCCGGGTAGGGGGGGAATTTGAACAATAATTTTCAAAAAAGTCAAATGCCCGGGGGGTTGCCCGGGGGGGCATGTTGAAGCTTCGATTTGATCTATGCATAAAGCGTGAAACATACAGCTATGTTGTGCCGCGAACTTTCGATTTCAAGCAAGTGCCGTAGAAATATTAAACGACTTACTTCAAAAAGGTAAAAAAGGAAAACGGTGAATCAAAACGATGGTAGTAAAAAGGCATAGATTTTTTCCAGCAAGAAAAAGCTAGCAGGCTTGGAATGAGCCGACAGTGTGTATTCTACCAGGAAATATCATCTCTTTTGATCTCGAATTGTTTTTCGTACATTATTTATTTATTTATTTGTTACAATTTAATGGCAATAAATTAAATTAGTGATGGACATAACATAGATAAAAAAGAGTTACAGCGACCCCATATAAAAACAAATCTCCTTATTTAAAGTAGATTATGATACAAAATATAAAAATATATATTGTTGGTTTTCACATGACGTCTCTAAAATTCAAACTACAAAACTATCGATCCTACTGAGATTTTACTTTCATGGTGTATTAGAGCAGCTGAAAACTAATTATCAAACAAATTTTCGCTTTAAAAGGTTTCTTGGTTTTGTAATAGAGTACGCTTGAATTTCTAAACTTTTGCGTGACGCATAGCCTGTGAACAGGTCTTTAGTCGAGCGGGGTGGGGAGAGGGCCTTCCCTTTCCTCGCTATTTTTCCCCAAACAGAGAGCCTGTTCACAGGCTACGTGACGCAACATTTACATGACCACCGAGAGAGCTGTCATTTAGGTTAAAAAAGTTACTTTTTTAAAGGAATTTTGCTATCTAAACAGTTCAAGTATTAGAAAAAGTATTACTTTAATGTTTATGAGTTCCTCTGGGAGTAAATTCACGCTTTTGTAGCAAAACTCGGTAACAGATGTTCCTGTTGATTTCCGTCCACCATGTTGGAGCTCATCCGGATGAGCTCCAACATGGCGTCTCCATACAAAGCCCTTTAAAGTTGGGTAAAACATTTCCTCGGATATCTCGTATACGAATTATTCCTTCGACCCATATCTTGGCGAGGGTCTTTGTATATTTACTTCCTTTCATTTCCCAGATTCTGGACTTTATCTGTCGAATGGTTTTGATTTTTATTTTGATCTATTTTGAATGGCGTGACACTGAAAACCAGCAATATAAAACGATACTACCTGTAGCAATAACATTACTTAAACATTGTTGGTTTTCAGTGTCACGCCATTCAAAATAGATCAAAATCAAAACCTTTCAATAGATAAAGTCCAGACATCTGGGAAATGAAAGGAGGTACATATACAAAGACCCTCGCCAAGATTCAGGTCAGAGGAGCATTTCGTATACAAGATATCCGAAGAAATGTTTTACCCAAACTTATAGAGATTTGTATGGAGACGCCATGCTTGTGCTCACCTGCATGAGCTCCAACATGGCGGACGCTAGCCTGCGTAGCATGGCGGTTTTGGCTGGGCGCTCTAAGTAATAAAGGCGGGCTAGGGCAGAGAAACCGCGAGGAGATTGGGGCGGGAGCAACTTGAAAAACCTATAAGCCTGGTGGTTTCGTGCGAGGTCTCCTCGGCAAAGCAAATTAAATGTAGCTATAAACCTGGTGCGCTGTAAGGCCAATAAAATGGTAATGATAGTGATGACTTGACAACGACGACGACGACGTCGGACTGACATGAATAATGTTGACTAACTCTATGGCATGCATGGATTTCAGGGCCACCGTATAATTTTACGGGTGTCTCACGTCCATAATTGAAACATACAGGCACCCTTACTCAGGTCTTAAATTGAAGATTTAAAGAGGATGGAGTGAGAAATCACCTAAGATAATATGAGTACCGTTATTTTAGTATTCAATCGTTGGCGACCAGTTGATCAGAATCGGCTCACAACTAATTTAACCTTTTTTTTTGCAACTTCGCGCATTTCAATTCAAGAATGAAGATCTCACTAATGGTCTTGGTGATGGTAATTA